GTCTGTCTGTCTGTCTGTCTGTCTGTCTGTCTGTCTGTCTGTCTGTCTGTCTGTCTGTCTGTCTGTCTGCTTGTCTGTCTGCCACATCATCATAACGTCCCACCAATGAGCATTCAAACTTCGGGATAATAGAAGAGCCTTGATGGGAAAATTGCTATAACGGTGTTGATTGACGTCGATTAACCGATACCAGTCAATTTTGGTTTGGAGTTTGATCAATCGACTTCTGAGTATTCATGGCCTACCTCAAGATAGTCCCGAAAATTTCAATTTCATGAGGGATAAAGGTAGGAGGGGGGAAATATCGATACTGCATTATCAATCATCAATCGGTAGAGGACCTAGGCGATGATAGGCTATCTGTTTAATATTTTTGAGTTTTTTTTTTCGACCTACCCATTTTTAGTTGTAGTGTACAGAAAGTAGCAGTTATGGAAAATTTCGCCAAAGGGCATCGATCAAATCGACATCGACTAAGATTCTCTTGATTAGTTTAATTAGTAATTTACTACTGACCAAAATTATCGTTTATAGCCAGGTGCGGTACCGTCCAAAGCCGAAATTGATGTCGTTTTATATTTCAATGTTATGATCCTTTGTTATATCATAATATTATTTTGTTCTCGACCATGGCTTATTATCATAACAACTAACGCATCTTTCAAGACAATAGATAATCAATAAATCAATATCTATCAAAAATAAAATAAAAACAAGTGATTGGGGTAAACGAATACACTCGAACTGTACATCAAGGAAATCCCATATAATAATATCTAAGGAATGTAAACGAATACTTGCAAAAATAATTAATTGAGATAAATATAACTATTTAGTGAGTCAGTAAACAAATAAATAAATATTGTAGATTAATATATGTGTAGTAAAAATGAATTGACCAACACGAAGCCAACAGCAGACTGCGAGCAGTGAGGACAGTAGGGACGAATTCAATAAATGAAAAATTTAATGTTAATGTTATTATTAGATCGTTTATTTATATTAAAAATTGATTTTTGGTAACAAAAAAATGTTTACAAGTTATATTACTATGAGGAACTGAATAGATCACAAAGTCACATGGGAATCGAGAAGTGACGATTTAAGGTCATGGATTGATGGAACTGTCGAGCCGGTGTCGGGGTTCCGATGAGAAGAGTAGTATTTAGCAAAACAGGTAGAGCAAAGAAAAGCCTACTAAGCTTCTAGAGCTCTGTACGTTTAAGGAAAGTAGCTCAGCCCTATCGGAAGCCCTTACGATCTGCAGTCGGAATGATTGCAGACACTCGGTGTGACGATCGCAAGAAACACGTAAAGAGTCGAAAAAAGTGACGGAAGTAAAACTACGGCGCATTCCAGCAGCTGCTTTCCGACGTGTTTCGAGTGATTCGAGGCTGACTGGCGTTGCTGAGCCAACCAGCCAGCCACTTGTGACCGTTGTTATCTGCACGGACGGACAAATAAACGACGAAATTAGCACGGACGTTAGTGGAGACGCAGGGTTGCCTGGATGGGTTTTTTCTTGAACGGCACGTTACTTGGAGGAGAAGAGGTGGTTTCAGAGCTAAGCACTGTATTGTGTGTTGTAGACGTAAGAACCCCACCCTTGCACTTAGCCGGCTGTCTTTTCGAATTTGTTTATTTATTGAACCACAAACCAAATTGCAGTTTGGCACGAAATGGATTGAGTCAGTTATCTCATTGGAAATCAGATAGAGTTGCGCAGGGCAGCCAACAAAGAGCTTAAACCCCACTACCGGCTTATTCCAGGGATCGGATCTTGACTTTTGGCCCTACCGAACCCATCCTCTCTGAATTTGAGTTAACCATGCCATACCGGGATTACCATATGTATAAGCACAGTACTCGGTTTCTAGACACCGTTTATGGAAAATGAGTAGTCACATGGCGCATCCTGCAACGAACCCCCGGAGCTTTTCTCCATTTACCATAAAAGTCGACAACAAAATATCGAAAACAAATGTTTCATCCTCTGACTGAACAATGACTAGAAGGTAGACTGATTAAAGCAAAGTCTCACTTCCCAAGAATATCAATGGTTATCATGACAAATTTGTATTTGGTTTATCACAACAGTTAGTCCTGTTAATTCTCTGCCCCTCGCAGACTTCTTATCAGACACTGCCGTGCCAAAAGCGGTC